AAGGTGTTTGTCCGTAAAATGATCTTATCTGTAAACTTACAGTGGCTGTTCAAGGGTAATTGTGATGTGTCAAGCAGTTTCCTGAAGTTAAACTATTCTAAATTGCATTTTTTTCATTCTCGTATTATTTATTCATTATTATTATTATTATTATTTTAAGAAATTAATACGTTTACTCTGCAAGACTGCATTAAATGAATAAAAAGTGACCGTTAAGACATTTTTAGTTTTTCGACATTTTTATAAGATTTCGAATAAATGTTTTTTTTTTTTTTTTTTTACTTTATATTCATTTAAGAATCCTGTAAAAATGTTTCACATTTTTCACCCAAAAAATATAAAAACAACATACATAATATACATTAATGATGATCATGATAATAAATAATAATACATTTGATAATACATTTTTTGAGCAGCAAATCAGCATATCAGAATGATTTCTGAAGGATCATGTGACACTGAAGACTGGAGTAATGATGCTGAACATTCAGCTTTGAAGCCCATCATAGGAATTAATTTCTCATAATTATTTTAAGATATATTAAAACAGAAAGCTGTTTTAAACTATTTGTACTGTGTTTTTGATCATATAAATGCAGCCTTGGTGAGCATAAGAGACTTATTTCAAAAACATAAAAAATCTTTTGAACTCCAGAAGTTTGAACAGTAGTGTACATGCAGTTTTATTAATAAAAATATTTAACTTTTTGTATATTAATTTATATATTTTATATTATAAATTTTTACTTTTCTCCTGTTGTGTTTTTCTTAAACCTTATTTTTTTAATAAACCGAGGCTAAAGGTTTATTGCGTTGGCTCTTATTTGTGAGATCATTTGTCTCACTCGACCTTCAAGTGAAGGCCACAGTTGGTTTCAAATGAAGGACAAATCTGTAGGGATTCTTGCATTTCTTGTCGAAACAGGGAGCCAAGCTGATCAATTCAGACTCTCAGTCTGGGTATAATGTTTCAGTGTCCACCTCTCCTCTCATTCTCTCTCTCTTCACAGATTCAATCCAATCTAGGAAAATTGATACTAAAGGAGGAGATCGAAAGTACAGCCCCTGTCCGAAGGAAAACACGGTCTCTGCCCGACAGGACACACATGCATCTGGGTACATTTCAATGTGCTTGTGTGGTTGTCACTGTGTGGACGTGATTTTCACAAAACTGTCTCATAAGGAATCACAGAACAGAAAGATACTCAGAGATGAGCAGCATTACTGACAGCAGCTGTTGTGTGTACTGGACATCTGAGTCAGTGCACCTGCAATCATAGTTTATGCACGGCAGACTAATAATCTGAATCAGATTAGAGTTTATAGGTCTCTAGGGGAAAGGTCAGAGTCTAGAGAACTCAATTTGAACCGTTTTGATCATTGCATTATACTTTGTATTGTGTGGCACTGAAAATGGATGTGATTGGAGTAAATCACAAAAGCCAGTTGACCTTGTACTTACAGTGGCCCCTTCTGGTTGAAGAGATTCACTGCATACACACGACACGTCACATATCCCTAATAGAAAACGTGTTGGCTTCAGCATCATTGCTTGGTTAAGATGATTATTTGAATGCTATTTGTGTCACTACATTAACATGTTTCTTCTTTTCTTTTGCGCAGCCTCCAAAGCCCCCTCATTTCCTTCCTACACTAAGACTGGCCTGACTAGGGTGAGAAAATGAAATCTGTTTTGATATGTCAGCTTTGTGAGATCCATCCTTAATTACACTGATTTAATTAGTCTGGTGTTTGTGTGTTACAGCTCCAGTCTGCAGAGTTCTCCTCTTCAAACAGTGATAAAGGGAGTCAAGGTAAGTGTGGGGATTATGACATTTCTATTCTGTTCTGTTCTGTTCTGTTCTGTTCTGTACTGTTTTTTGCATTTGTTACACTTCAATCAGAGTGGCAGCATTAAGAGTCATAATTGTATTCTATTTTATTCTGCTCTAAAGAGTAGAACGATTTTTGCCATGTTTATTTGGAATTTAATCAAAGCTCCAGAATTAAGAGCACTGATCTCTATTCTATTCTATTATATCCTAATAGTGGAGCAATTTTGTCATGTTTATTTTTACTTCAATTAGAGCACCAGTATTACAGGCACAATTCTATTATTATTTTTTTCATTTGTTACACTTCAATCAGTGTCATTATCAAGAGTCATAATTGTATTCCATTTTATTCTGTTATAAAGAGTACACCAAATTTTTGCCATGTTTGTTTGAAATTTATTCAAAGTTCCAGTATTATAAGCACTCATCTCTATTCTCTCTATCTAATAATAGAGTCATTTAATAAAGAGTCATTTTTGTCATATTTATTTACACTTCAAACAGAGTCCAAGTTTTAAGTCATAATTCTGTTCTATTCTATTCTATTCAAAATAGTAATTAAGTGTACAAGTATTGTCATGATGTAATCCTATTCTGTTCTATTCTATTCTTTTCTAAATAGTTGATCAGTTTTTTGCCATGTTTATTTTATCAGAACAAGTTCCAGTATTAAGAGCACTGGTCTCTATTCTATTCTATTCTATTAATAGTAGTCATTTTTGTCATATTTATTTACACTTCAGTCAGAGTGCCAGTTTTAAGAGTCATAATTCTATTCTATTCTAAACAGTAATGTAGAGTGCCAGCATTGTCATAGTGTAATTCCATTCTGTTCTATTCTACTATTCTATTGTTATTCATCTAAATAGTAGGTCAGTTTTTGCCATGTTTATTTGAAATTTAATCAGAGTAAGTTACAGTATTACGAGCACTGATTTATATTCTATTCTGTTCTATTCTATTCATTTTTGTCTTTTTAACATTTGTTACACTTCAGAGTGCCAGTATTATAAGTCATAATTCTATTTTTACAGTAGTTAGAGTACTGATTTTATATAAATGTAATTATAAAATATATCAGTCATTAAGAGTCATAATTCTATTCTATTCTATTTAGAATGTAGTATGTTTATTCACATTTTATTTAGAGTGCCGAGAGTCATTATTCTATTGTATTGTGTTTTGTTGTGTTCTATTCTCACCTTTTTTAAATGAATATAAATCAAATTGAATTAAATGTTTTATACCCCATGCTCATTGTATTATCATTTGTTTCTCTCCCTCTTTTTTATTTTATTTTTTAATTTTTTTACAGATTTCCAGGTATGTAATAGTTTAAATGTTTTTTAAACAGATGAACAGATGAATTTATAAATTTTATTTTAAACCAACTTTGTTCAAACCCCCTTAAGTAACGAATACAATACAAGCCACTCATATGTTGACAATTTCAGTGTTAGCATTTCAGAAATAATCAAATAGTTTATTAAGTCAAGCTCTGCAACCTTCAATCTCATTAGTTTTACAACATTTACAATCAGATTGTTGTAACAACTGCACAAATCACAGTTGTGGTATGTGGTCTTATGGTGGTCTCCTCTCTTTTATAGAACGGAGATGCCCAAAGCAGAAGAATAGACAGAGGGAATTCACTCCCTAGTATGCTGGAACAAAAGGTGATGTAACCATATCATCTGCCAACTAATTAAGATTATTGTGTTTAATGCTTGTATATATGAGCTCTTGTATACAGTATATTGTTACTTAAAGTGACAGTTTGATCCTGGTTCATTAATATTGTTATGAACATGTATTCGTTTGGCAGATTTACCCATATGAGATGCTCATTGTGACACACAGAGGCAGAAACAAGCTCCCTCCTGGTGTAGACAGGACAAGACTGGAGGTAGACATTGCTTTGGCTCATTGTTTTACCCTGTTGCACTGTTCTGCTGGGAAACGTTGACCACATAACCTCTCTCTCCAGAGGCACCTGTCACCTGAGGAATTCCAGAATGTCTTTGGAATGTCCATAGAGGAATTCGACCGGCTCTCCCTTTGGAAGCAGAACGTCCTGAAAAAGAAAGTCTCTCTCTTCTAGTAGTCAGAGAAATACGTTCTTTTACAAACACTGTCACGCGTCTGCACTTCCGCTTGTGAAAACAGTACAGGCGATACAAGTTAAGGAAAGATGAGGAATGTGATTATGGAGCCAGCAAAAAAAAATCAGTTATCCTTATCGTTTGATAAGCCCCATATCTGATTGCAGCTAACAATCATATCCGAGACTTTGATGTCGTCTCTTTTTCTAGTTGCAGCTACTATGTCAGGACTTCACTGAGGTTCTCTTCTGTGTGTGCTTAGTAAAGCTACAGTATAATGATATACACCGATATGAATGCTACGAATACACATGAAACAGATCTGAATCACACCAGTTATTTGAGCAGACCAAATCCCTGCAGAACATTTCAGATGGACCAGCAGGAATCTGTGAATTTAAGTCACTGCCACACTTTTCAGCCTTTATGTGCTAAGCATGAATGAACAAACCTTCAGAATATGGGTCAGTGACTTTTTTTGGTCCAGATTTATTCATTTGTTAAAAATAGATTTAAAATGCAATTTATACATAGAAAGAGTTGAATAAACCTCTTCTTTGATGAGCATGATTTTATTTTCTGAATTAAGATTAAGAATTCAAAAATTCATAAAAATGACAGAACTGTCCTGATATAAAGAAGTTCTTGAAAATAAATTTGGCATACTTTTTTATTTTTATTCTTTACAAAAATGTGTAATATTTTAACAAAACTGCTTCACTGCTTATTAATGTTTTTTTGTTTTTTTTTTACTGTTGTTGCTAAATCAAAATCATGTGGTTTAACCGACATGCAGGAAAAAAAATTGGAAATTAATATCATTAGGTTAATATAATAATTAGACATCTTTATGACACAGCAATGTTGTAAAATGTCATGTGGTGTGGCTGAAAATTCTTCATTATAATTATGAATAGCAATTCATGAAATTTCCTTAATTTAAATAAAAACTGTAAGGTATAAACATTTTTAAAAGCCATATAAAACCAGCATGCATCAATACAAAGAATACAAATTGGCATGTGTTTTTAAAATAGATTTTTTTTATTTACGTTTTTTAAATTCTTTATGGTGGACAGTCTCATTTGTCATTGACCCATATCTGTAAAAGCAGCTCAGTATTTGAATTAAGCAAATCAAATAATGCTGATAGTTTGGAATTAAGTACAATTTATACTAGAGACTCAAGACGCACATGTTGCACACCCTCATTCCTTACACCTTAACACCAATATCCGACATGCAGGAAAAAAAATTGGAAATTAATATCATTAGGTTAATATAATAATTAGACATCTTTATGACACAGCAATGTTGTAAAATGTCATGTGGTGCGACTGAAAATCCTTCATTATAATTATGAATAACAATTCATGAAATGTCCTTAATTCATTTCAATAAAAACTGTAAGGTATAAAAATTTTTAAAAGCCATATAAAACCAGCATACATCAATACAAAGAATACAAATTGGCATGTGCTTTAAAATAGATTTTTTTTATTTACGTTTTTTTAATTCTTTATGGTGGAAAGTCTCATTTGTCATTGACCCATATCTGTAAAAGCAGCTCAGTATTTGAATTAAGCAAATCATGGAATTAAGTACAATTTATACTAGAGACTCAAGACGCACATGTTGCACACCCTCATTCCTTACACCTTAACACCAATATTACCCACGCAAATACCAGCGGCACAATATACAGGTATAGCAACAGCTGATGATTCCGAGTGAGATTTTGCTGTTCCAAAGAGAGCTACTGTACATTAGTGAGAGTTTACTGAATATTGGATATAAGACGTATGAATCCCGCATGGCAAATGTATCCTGCTTTTCTTCAGTGATGATGGATTGTGAATTGTGGGTGTGAGCAATACTTCTCCTCTTCCGCAGGATGTATAGATCGAACAGTTTCACTCGCTCCCTCGATCATATCGTCTTTTTCTCTCCCTCCTCCCCGTTTTGCTGCTATTGCCTTTACTGTTTTGGTTCTATCCTCTTTTGTTCTTGACGGGTGGACATGTTTTTTTATAGTGTTTCTGTTTTATAGGATAAGGATAGGTTCGGATATAAAGGGATTTCTGACGTTAGCACCTGATGGTTGCTGTTAGTCTGAAGGATTGGTTTTGCAGCCCTGGTTTTTGCTTTCTGTAGCTTGACAAATACAAGGTTGAGCAGAATTCAGAGTCAAACAGCTTTTCAGTGCATGAATGCGAATTTGATTTGCATTGGTCAAGACCCACAGGATGTTAAACTGGAATTAGAGGAAGATGAATTTACTGAACTGCAATTTTTTTTTTAAATGCACACATTCACACAGCAGTGATATTTCATTGGTACACATTTTGCAACAAAGAAAACACTATTTTATTAATTAACTATATTAGTTATAATTATATGAAAAATAATTAACATTCATATTGACTAATTAGTCAAATTATTAATTAATTATTCATATTTAAAATAATAACAATATATAATTTATATTTCTATAATATAACATTTTGTGTATATATAATATATCATTTTATAAAATGTATTCAATAAAATATTAAATATATATACATTATATATTAAATAAATGAATTATAATGAATGAAGTCAATATTATTATGCAGTGGTAATGTATAAAAACTAGCAGTCGCATGTTATTTCATTTTAACTCTACGTTTTAAAATTCAATTGGAATTTGAAAGGCATTCTCAATTCTGTTCCGAATGGCACACAACCCTGCAGTTCATATATTCTTCTTGCCCACGTCAAATTAAATATGAATTTCTATGCTTTTATTGCTCCAGTGACCAAATGAAGTGCTTGGATAGAGTGCATGCTTTGTATCCAGAGTTTGTACCTAATAAAGCAGAACAAACATGTTATGAGAACAAAACAATCACTAAAAAGCAACACATATATCAACTTGAGAATGTACAGTAGAAGTACAAATATAGACATTCCACATTCATTTTTGTAGAAGCACTGCTCAAAAGGAAATATGTGGCTATATGCATATTAACAAACCCATAGTATTATTTGTTGTTTTAATGGCTGTTCTTTCAACAGAACATATTTTATGTGAACACAATCTGACACCCGATTTATACTTCTGCTATTTGAAATCTTTTCTTGTGTGACTGAAGGGGCACAAACTCATCACAATGATCAAATGATCATCAAAATACATAAACATTTTTTTGTTCAGTGGCAGCTTAAAGTGGTTTTCTGGTCTGAAAATATTTGTGGCTTCAGACGTCAGGCCTTCTTTATGAAATTCATTTTGCTAGGAATATTTTGCAGCGAGGCACTCATTACTACATCCTAAAGCACTTGATTCACTCTTACACACCTAAAAGAATGAATGTTTTCACAATAAGAAAATATGCTCTTTTAACACACATGTACATGCATCTGACAATTTTCATGTGAAAAATGTCCCAAATATTAACATATATTCATTTTTCTCTACTTCATAAATAGTGCTTTTCTTCTTTTCATTTTTTTTTTTTTTTATGTGAAAGTGTGATGAATGGGGAAAAAATAAAATGGATTTATTAAAGTGAGTGTATTGTTATGATTTTATTATTAATAGCAGTGGTATTGTTGTTTCGTTATGTTTGATTTGTTTGTGGTTCTCTAATGTTTTAACAGATTTTGACGATTTGAATGAATATTCAGTTCAATAAAATGTATGATTTTAACAGCATTTTGTGTTTGCTTTTTACTGATTGAAAGTGTGATTAAGCCTTTCACATCTTCAATAAGATGAATTTTGGTTATGTTGGGTCACTTTTGACAGTCATCTCAATATAGCTGTAGATTTGTTTGGATGTATAAACTGAAGAAACTACTGAATAGGCCCTACGTCTATATATATTCAGTTTAAAATGAATATAATGTAAGTGTTAAATGTAAAAAATGTAACTTTTGCATTCTTTGCGAGTGAAAGTTATTTAACACAAAAGTGTTCTGACTGAACTTTTTTACTCCATTAAAAAGGAACTAATTGGATTACTTAGTTACTTTTTATGGAAAGTAATGCATTACGTTTCTTTTTGTCACCTTTTGGCAACTGTAAATACCCTTTCACACCAAAAACTTTTACTTAAACTTTTCTATTATAATCACCACTGAGTGGTTTGTAATAACTTCTGACTGCGATCCAATGTGGATTTTGGTCAAATGATGAGGCAGAAATATATTGTTAGTAACATTTTGGAAGAATTTTATGGGGAAGATATGCAATTTATGTGGGGCATGAAAGAAAAGTAATGTAATAGTAGTGTAACTAATTATTGTTGCCAGAAAGTAATAAGTAAAGTAATAATAAGCCTATTACTTTTGAAAGGAGTAGTAATGAGTAATATAGGCTATTACATTTTTTGAGTACCTAGCCCAACACTGGTTACTTGTAATGCATTACCGCCAACACTGCTGAAATATAAATGTTCCTCCAACTTATATTTGTCCATCACTGTGTCACCAGGGTCTGTGTCTTACAGTAATTAGTGCTGTCAAACGATTAATAAAAGTTTTTGTTTACATAATATGTGTGTGTACTGTGTATATTTATTATGTATATATAAATACAAACACATTCAGTATATATTTTGAAAATATTTACATGTATTTACATGTTTATATTTATATTCATATAATTTATATTATGTATAAATATATTTAATATATAAACATAATATTTTTCTTAAATATATACATGCATGTATGTGTATTTATATACAATAAATCACCCAGATAAATCACTGGTAGCTAATCCTATGCAGGTTTTGTTTGTAATAGTTATTGAGGGCGCTGTGGAGCTGCTGTACAGTGGCGGCTTTCAGAAGCGCAGCTGGAGGCGGAGAGTCCAGTGATACACAGAGATGTGGAGTGGATGTTGACAATGTAGGCGCTTGTTTGGACAGTTTCGCTGTTATCTTCGTTTGTCTGTCGCCTGACCCGCAACTCTCACTTAATTCACTTCGAATTTTACATAAAGCCACTTTAAATTCGTTTACACATCCAGGAACAGACTCAGCGATGAACTCTGGAAGCGGACGGGAACAGTTCACTTGGACGCTTTGAGCATTTCCAGCGATGGACAAGCAGAAAGGTATTTCAGTTTTCACATCGGTCTGAAGTCTATGTGCTCCAGTTAAAACCTCATATGAACCACAGATCTACTTCATATAATCTACACAGACATTTTCCATAAGAAATTTTTTTTTTTTTTTTTTTGGGGTTTAGAATAAAAAAAAAAAAAAGGGCTTATTTACAAACTGTCATTTTGAGCCATTGAGCAAGATACTCTATCCTAAGTTACTGACTGTCCCTGTGAGTCACTTGGATAAAGCCACTAGTTAGTACTCACTGACTGGGCAAGTAATCATATTGAATAGTTTCAGTATGAGAACTTATATGCCAGTTTTGTCTCATTTAGTCATAAGTCTTCAGCAGAAGTCACAAGTCTCCAGTTTCATTTACTTTTATTAATGCAGTTGAGTCTTTTATTCAAAGTGACTTACAGTGCCTAAATGTGACCTTGGACCACAAAACCAGTCATAAGGGTACATTTTTTGAAATTGAGATTTATAGATCATCTGAAAGCTGAATAAATAAGCTTTCCATGGATGTATGGTTTGTTAGGATATTTGGCAGAGATACAACTATTTGAAAATCTGGAATATGAGGGTGCAAAAAAATCTAAATATTGAGAAAATCAGCTTTAAAGTTGCCCAAATGAAGTCCTTTGCAATGCATATTACTAATTAAAAAATAAGTTTTGATATATTTACGGTAGAAAATTTACTAAATGTCTTCATGGAGCATGATCTGTACTTAATATCCTAATGATTTTTGGCATTAAAGAAAAATCGATAATTTTGACCCATACAATGTATTGTTGGCTATTGCTACAAATATACCCGTGCTACTTATGATTGGTTTTGTGGTCCAGGGTCACATATGTCTTGAATCAATCCCACTGGGATTCGAACCTACAACCTTCCACTAAACTACACCAGCATTGTAAAAGATCATCCATTTCTAAACACATCTTAGCAACTCGTTCATAACTCAAAAAGACAGAGAGGTGTTGAATATTTCAGTGCTGATGTCTCATAATTGCAGTTATTGTTGTTGTAGCCGTGTAGATTTGATCATTGTTCTGGAATGTCAGTAATAGTCCTCCAGTTTTCCCCATCAGCCTCACCGCCACGACCCAAATCTCAGGAGAGGCATGAGTTTCTCGGTTTGTTGAAGTAAAGGTCAGAGAGCAGTGCTAATTTCACCAGCGGCGGTGTAGTGTGAAGTCTGACAGGAGCAAATGAGCTGCTTTACTGCCTTCCAAACTCCTTTCTGTTTCTGAAAACAAAAACCAGGTTGGGAAACAAAACTGACATCATGGATAATATTACTGTTCGGCTTCTATGCACTTTTTCCATAATCACGTTTTTGTATTTAAGCTAGAGTTGGAAGTTATCCAATGTTTGCTAAATAATCCAACATTTTAATGTTTTTTTATTCGTTTTATGAGAGTGCAAGACAGAGATTTAAATCCAAGTAGAACAGTTGAGTTGATAAGAATCATTTAAATTAATCAGTTCAATCTGTGTTTTTCAATGAATCATTATAAAAACTGTTGACAGTTGCATGTGGCCAGTCTGGTGCCCAGGGGCGTAGCTAGGCCATTTTTAGGGGGGCTATACTCAGCTACTATGACTACTCAGCCCCCCTAAAATTTTGCGATTAGCTCCATAAACTGTACACGAATTCGTGATCACCTCAGTCCCCTTTAAATTTCATATGAAAACGGCGGCAGACTTCGATCGGCTCCCCTCCGTCTTTCAGCACGTTTTTTTCAATCCGGAGACCGAAGCGGCGCAGAGCAAGAAACAGAGGTGTGTGTTTATCAATAGATTGTTATAATATCTGCATCTGTGCAGTTCTTTGTCATAAATACAGTTTACAAAAAGGAGCAATCGGTTCCCCATCTACTGTAGCCTATAAGTTTTCGCTGCGTTCACCCCTCATCACACCACAGGTTTCCTCCAGTGAAAATGAAGCATATATGAACACATATACTTTATAAAACGATGTTGCCATTTTCATTTGAATATATGTATATATTATACCCTCATTGGGGGCTGAGCCCCCCTAAAATGAAAATCCTGGAATAGCCCCTGCTGGTGACTCAACATAGTTGAGAAAAGTTTACCTTTAAGCAAATGAACTGCAACTACCAATGGGAGTGAAGACAGTGGAGGTCATGTGATCTGGCCAATCCAGGGTCTGCAAGATGAAGAGAATCCTTACAGTTATCAATTTTTCAATTTTATGTAAGTGTCACAACTG